TAGTTTTTTGTATTTTTTTTTAGTAGAGACGGGGTTTCACCATGTTAGCCAGGATGGTCTCGATCTCCTGACCTCGTGATCCACCAGTCTCGGCCTCCCAAAGTGCTGGGAGTACAGGCTTGAGCCACCGCGCCCGGCCTCCGTTTGTCTAATCTACTCTACTTCAAACATATAGGCTGCTTTACTAAAACAATTCAGGGCACTGTGTCCACATGTTTTCCCTAGATGTGGGTCCCTAGAGTACCACAGACCACCAATAGCAATTTGGGTATAAACATAACCTCATAGGAAAAACTGGTTCCTTTGAAGATGGTCATGAAATAAACATCCCAGAATTCCAACACATTCCACGGACATTAAGGAAGAGAGATGATTACAGGGGGAGTCGATGAAGGTGGGAAGGTAACCAATGGATGGGAGGGGAAGGTGTCTGATGCTCATGGCCACACCAGTACGGCTCAATACATTCCTTGGGAACAGGAAGAAGAAATTCAACTAGTTTCTTGAAAGAGGGTCCTGAAATTCACAGTGGAGAGCGGATATTCCAGGAGGCAGTCTAAGTTATCTGAGGTGTGCAACTCACCCAGTGAGACCAAGTTACTGTAGTTCTCCAGCATCACATCCCAGTACAGGTCCCTCTGAGCAGAGTTCAGGCAGGCCCACTCCTCCTGAGAAAAGTCTATGGCTACATCGGCGAATGTCACCAAACCCTGAAACAGAAACCCACATATGCATGATGAAATGAAAGGAAACAGCTTCCAGATGAAGGAGACAAGAGGCCCCCTCTGGGTAGGGTGAACACCTGTGACATGGGCAGGGGGCGGTAAGGACATCAGCGTAACTGTGACGGAAGCAGAATGCCTGCATGTCACTGAAGAGCTCTGCTGCTGCAGAGAAAATGGCTTGTACTGTGCAGAATCCTCAATTAGTCAAACCTGCTGGGAAGTGGATAAAACAATCCAAGCTTTCTTTTTGTTGACAAGCAGTGTCTGCTATATGTCTGCCTTATAAGTTCTCAACAAGTGTGGATTCCTACAGCATTTTTTCTTCTAAGGGGGGAAGAAAAATCAAGATTTTTGTTTAAGATCTTTTATTTTAGAAAATAGGGTTTGCCGGGTGTGGTGGCTCACGCCTGTAATCCCAGCACATTGGGAGGCCGGGGCAGGTGGATCACCTGAGGTCGGGGGTTCGAGACCAGCCTGACCAACATGGAGAAACCTCATCTCTACTAAAAATACAAAATTAGCCAGGCGTGGCAGTGAGTGCCTGTAATCCCAGCTACTCAGGAGGCTGAGGCAGGAGAATTGCTTGAACCTGGGAGGCGGAGGTTGCGGTGAGCCGAGATTGTGCCACTGCACTCCAGCCTGGGCGACAAGAGCGAAACACTATCCCAAGAAAAGAAAAAGAAAATAGGGTTCGCATGTTTGAATGTTTTCAAGCCTCAGGTTCATCATGCCAAACTACATTTTAAGCAGTCTTCCTTTTAAGCATTTAAAAAAATTCCCACACAGGTTAAGTCAGACTGTTCATTATAGTTATTCACTTAGGTTGACCAAAACACCTAAGGCTTTCCCCAATTCTGGGGTACGCAATCATCTCCTACTTCCATACTGGAAGATCTTCATGTTTCTTACCATCCCCAACCTAGTCTTTCCCCTGTTCCTGATTTTTTTTTTCTTTTTTTTGTATTTTTAGTAGAGACGGGGTTTCACCATGTTAGCCAGGATGGTCTCGATCTCCTGACCCTGTGATCCGCCTGCCTCGGCCTCCCAAAGTGCTGGGATTACAGGC